AAAATAAATTTTTGAAATGTTTTTAAGATTACATCAATAACATACTCGCACAAATTACTTTTTTACCTTATATATCTGAAAATATAAAGATAGCAAGTATATCACCTTAGGAACCAGTGTAAAAATGCAAATATTTACAATTTTTTTTTTTCATTGTTTGTATCCTATTGACATTAATTCATATAAAAATGAAAACATGAACAAGATGACATATAATCCTAAGTTTTGCGCAAGTCACTTTAATTGTAGCAAAATATGACTTCTATGTCACATTGAATTACCCTATATTTATGCAAGGTATTAAAGCGAGAGAGTCGTCACCTACGCACATGCGGGAATTGAGTCCCAAGCGATGATAATAACACACGCTAAGACCGCAAAGGCTCATGGGTAGGCACTTGTTTGTAAACAATGACATGCCATGACCACCTGACGCATGCATAGGTGACGACTCCCCTGATTTAATTGTGTTCTTCAAAGTCCTGTGGAATATTGTAATTTGTAGGGGTCAAGTAAAGTTGAACACGCAACGTTTCAGGTTATATGATGTAAAAGATAAATGAATGTTTGTTCAAAATAACGATGAGAGTGCAAAACTTAGAAGACTGACATTATGCTTGTTATACTCAACCTTTTCATCACCAGTTCCCTCTTTTCATCACAAATTCACAAAATAGTCCTGTTTATAGTCTGCACTTACCTTCAGAAGATTATGACAAAAATAGTAACATTTTTTGAGTAAAAACTGAAAAATGGCTCAAATTTTGTCCGTTGGCTCTAAATTCTAAAAAAAAAAAAAAGTAAAACAATTTGAGCGAGAAAGTCTGGTGGTGAAAAGGTTAATACAAGATTGTAATTCTGATTGGCTACTTACCTGACAGTCAGAGCAATCAGAGAGCAGCTGTCGGTTTACAGGTTTTCTTGACATGTATGCATATGCTTTGACTTAACTGTCATCTTGTCGTATTGAAAGCTGTCATCTAAGGCCAGGAAAAAAAAATTCTCTGTTTCTCGTTTCATGGAAATTTTAAAATGAAAATTTTAAAATCGGCGAGGCGATTTTTTTTTTTTTTTTTTAATATTGAGCTAACATGGGGGAAATTTGAGACAAGTGCAAGTACAAGCGCATTTTGGAATGCTTTAGAAGGAAAAAAAAACGTTCGAGCCACACAGTTAAAAATTATGCGCACAAAAACTAGAAACAGAGATACTTTTTTTTTCAGCCTAATATACCGAAAGGTATTTAGCAATTGTGAGGCAAGAATGTTGAATGTCAAACAAAACATTAAATTATTTGTCGTCGAAAGTTCCTGTAAAGTTAGTTTAAAAAGGGGGAGTCATCACTTCTGCATGTGTCAGATGGCTATAGTGTGTTATTGTATACAAACAAGCGTCTACCCATGAGCCTTTGCGTTTTTAGCATGTGTTGTTATCATCGCTTGGGACTCAATTCCCGCGTGTGCGCAGGTGACAACCCTCTCGCTTTAATTGTGATATTTATAAATAATATTCATTTTGTTTGTGGTGTTATTAGTATTAAAGTAAAGTATTATTAGGGTGTACATGTCACAAAATTGACTGTAGATCTTGTTCTAAAAATAAACAAACAAACAAATGCCAAAAGTGTTTTCCTATTTGCAAAATGTTGTCTTTTGTGAAAGTAATATCAATTTATGGTACAGGATTTTTGGGAAAGTACGGTTTTGATCTCATCCATGGGAAAGTTGTAAAACTAAGTTGTTTACATTGTTTATCTATCGCAACAACAGAATCTGGAAATTGCAAACAAGTAATGTGTGAGGGGCAGGTTTCAACTACACACATAATGAAAAGAGACATTGACGAAGCTAAATATAAATTCTAAAATGTATACATTGAAGCAATTATTGAAGGAAAGCGGTCGTCACGCAGCTCGTGTTCGAATGTCAGGAAACAAACAATCTATTTTACATGCGCTGTTTATGACTCCCATATCGAACTGGATACAGGCGCCAACCAACATCTTTAAGTGTTTACTGGTAAAAAAATTTAATAATTTTATTACAGTATATACTTGTCTTTTTTCTTAGTCTAAAATCAGGACCAGCATACAAGCACACTGTTGGATACAAAAAACAACTGGCGTTTCTGAATGGAATTGGTAAACTCTCTGAAATGGTGAGCAATGTAATCTTGTTTGGCTATTATTTTAAACAAATATTGAATTGAGTTTTATCTGCTTTCATTAAAATACGACTTTTTGTTTCATAACCTGATGTGAAATGTGTGATTCGCTACAATTATATCGTACAATGCCGATCTTGAATGTACTATATTTAAATGAAACAGGGACTATTTCATCTATAATAACTCATTGATATATTGCTTTGACTAGAAAAAAATTTTTTTTTTTAAGATTGATTTACCAGAAAATGAATGTCTGTCTACGTTGACGTCATGCATTTCGTATCTCAGTAATAAGCAACCAGGCAGTCTTCAACAAGTAAGAATAACATGTGTT